CCCCTGTCTCTGAGGCCAGCTCTTACCTGCTGTGTCCTGGCAGTGCATAGGCACTGAGGAATATGGGATTTTGCATACTGGGAACTGGATTAAGGCCTCCCTAACTATCTTTGTGGACAAACTAGAAGAATAAGTTGGGTAATATAATAGATGGAAACCTTGTTGGCTTAATAGCCAGAAAGGGGTGTTGAGTATTTTCATTAAAGCGGCAGTGACACTAAAACTGTCATTTTTATTGCCATTGGCATTCTCATTATTCTAATCCTTGCTTGGATAAAGACTGACACAAATCTGAGCAGGAAAGATAAAACAAAGATGAGCATAATCAGATATCTAGAGACTGGATAAGGAGACAAGCTAGACTGTCTGCTGGGTGACTCTGACGCGCCCCCTTGGGCAGCCCAGCAGAATGCCAGCTCCAAGGGTGTTCAGGAACTCTGGGTGGCAACAAGTAAGGATATGCAGACTCCTTACAACTTGCATTGGGTAACAGGAGATGTCTAATCCCCCCAGTTTGTAAAGTTGCAAAATTCAAAATTCAAATTCAAAATTCAAAATCCCTTCCTACCTTTATCATTGAAATGCAAGAAAATGGGGCACACATGTAGCACCCCAAGCCACCATCAACCCCTGCAGACCTCTCCACGGGATGGGAAGTCTGGAAGGATTGTGTCCTATCTGGCAGAACATGCCTGAGAACCTCTCCTTTGAGTCTGCCTTGTGTGATATTCGTAGTGTTCATCCTTACCCCAGAGGTGAGTTAAAACAACAAGATTAGCAAAGCTAAACAAGATAAAACAGCACATTGGCAAATATGTTTATAAAATCAATTTTATAAGTCCACCAATGGGTCGATGTGATATCATAGCTTGAGAGAGACCCATGAATTTAGTGGCTTCAGAATGGAGACTGAGCCTAAGGGGTTAATTTGCTTTTAGACTTGAAGAGTAAAAAAGAGGGGAAAAAACCTTACCTAGACTTTTTCTGAGACTCAGTTTTCTAGACATGACAAATCTGGAGGCTTATCAACAGCTGTGAGCTGAGCTCCAAGACCGGCTGGGAACTGAGAGAGCAGAGAAGGAAGGGGACACATACAGAAATCCAAAACTCCAATTATCTGAAGAAAAGCCTCACTTCGTGTATGAAGATTCCTGTGACTAGCCCACGAACTTCGGCCAAGTCCACACTTCTTTGCCCCCAACCCACATTGCAGCCAATAACATTTAATTCCCTTTTTCTCACCCTGGTCTCCAAAACCTACATAACCTCTGAATTGGGGAGATAGTTTTTGATCAGGAGTCTGGCCATCTTCTCTGAGTACTGGTGTTGGCTAAACCTTTGCTTTCCTAACTCCAGCTTTTGTCCCTTGTCTCACCTGCAAGTGATGAGTACCCAGACCTGAGTGAGGGGACTGACCTGGAAGCTGATAAGCCCAGGTGGTCTGTGATGTCATTAGCAGATGTCGCATCTGGATTTTAGAAAAGGACATTGTGCCCATCTTACCAGCCCAAGCCTGGACAAGTGCCCTTAGTGCTGCCCGCTCTAGGTGCAGGGAGAGGCAATGGTGACAGCTGCCGCTGATGCACAGACAGATCACTTACAGGCTCGAGGAGCAACCAAGAGCAGGCAAACTGCTCAGGCTAACTGAGGCTGACGGTCAGAGTCCAACCGGCCTAGGCTCACATCTAGGATTCTGAGTGGGAGGGTCAAGAGAAAGCAGGGAATGGATCTGGATAGTGAGAGGACCTGGTGGAAAAGCCAAAGCTTAGCATACTGAGGTGTACAGGGGCAGGGAGCTAGGGAACTATTAATAGCTGAGGATGGAAGCTGATGGAAGAGCAGGTTGGAGGGATGCACCTGAGGTGCTCCTCTGGGAGGCTGCTTGCTTTAAGGAAACTCCAATACCACTACCTACCTGATTTTAAAAACTGTCCTCTTTTAAAAAAAAAAATCAAGCTATTGCATGGGTAGAAGTTTTTTTTGTTTTGTTTTGTTTTTAATTCAATGTATCACTAAGTCTACAGTGAAAAAATTGCAATCCTTTGCCTGACTTTTTTGTATTCCTGCTTCCGAGAATGAACTGCTTTTCATTCCTTCTTTGTTATTTTTCTATCCCCTCCCCACTCTTATATCTAAATAATAGGATTATATTGTCTTTCTTGGTTTTTTAGTTTGAGTTTCTTGGTTTTTATTTTATTTTATTTTTAAAGAGGCATGTATTTTTATTTATTTATTTGTTTGTTTGTTTGTTTTTGTTTGTTTGTACATGCACTGGGTACAGTCAGAAGCTCAGGAGAATTCACCAGAGCCAGAGCGGGGAGCAGAGCAGGCAGAAGGACCGAAGTACACTGCTGAGGGGAGCAGCGGGCGGCAGGAGAGGTCTACGTGCCATGTGGGACTCTCCTCCAGTGGCCGGGGAGCAGCCGGGGATCGAACCGGTGCCGCAGAGGCCGCGGGCAGCTTCGCAACCCAGCGCTCAACCGCTGCGCCACTGGGGAAGCCCTGGTTCTTTATTTTAAAGGTAGGGAAATTTCGTTTTTAATAAGGGCTCCAAACGAGTCTAGGCTTTTATAAAAAAGTGTGGTTTGGGGAAGAAGTTTCAAATTTCATTCTGGGTCAAATTACATATTCATTAAAATTAAATTATATATCATATAATTAATAAAAATAATTTCTTTATGCCAAGTATTGGCATTTAAATACAATATAGTTTTAAAAGTGAAATAAAATAAATTACATGAATAAACTTATAATCATAGAGAATGCTAAGAAGAGCTATACACATGAGAAATAGCAAATCCAAATCCAAAAGAAGATATTCCTCTGAATCCCACATTTCTTCAAGCATCAAAAACTACAGTTTTTCAGTCCTTTTCTTGTACACTATTCTGTTCCCACACACTCTGCATCTGATTGGACCACTGGCTTTTCATTCCCTGTGTGACATTTCCCACAGATATATATATATAAAATTGGCTGCTGCTTTGGGGGTTGAACTTCCTTTTGTGTGTCCATTGCTCCCTCAAATCACAACCTGCCAATTCCCTCACTACACAGTGTTCATTGTTTATGATGGTATGGTCATAGAAATGTAATTCATTATTGATCTAGGAGACACACACAAAAAAATTTTATATTTTGGTCCTCCCCGGTGGCTGGCGCTGCGAAGCTGTCCGCAGCCTCTGCAGTGTGGGTTCAATTCCTGGTGGGCCAGGGAGATTCCAACATGGCATGGCAGACCTCTCCTGTCTCGCCCGCTGCTCCCCTCAGCAGTGTATTTCGTCAGTCTGCCTGTTCTGCTCCCCACTCTGACTCAGGTGAATCCTCTCACCCTCCCATGCCTCTGGCCTGTACCCCAGATCTTGCATAAAAATAAATAAATCTTTAAAAAAAAAACTTTTATATTTTGGATAACTTTGTGTTTTACCTGGAGTTAATAGTTACCTCATTGTTTGCTTGCTTGCTTAGTTTTCCATGTACCTACCACAAATTTATTTCAAATTCCTTATGAAAATAAAGCACTTTACCATGTACAAACATATTAGGTAGTCTGTTTCTTTTTTCTTTCTTCCTGTCCTCCCCTTAAAGATTTTCCTCCTGGTGGCCTTTCTCTTTTTTACATCTAATTTGTTCCTCTCGAAGCCTGCTGTACAACTGTTATTGTCAGCTTTCATCATTAATCTGATGTTAAATTTCTTGTTTTCTGAATTTCATGTTTTCTTATCTTGGTTTATTCATTCTTTTTGGCAGAACACATATACAAGTAGTTTCCTGTAAAACTATAAGTGGGAGGTTAATTTTTTGAAGTCTTTCATATCTGAAAATGCTGTTATGTATTTTTTACAGCTTTATTGAGATATATTTCATACCATAAAACTCACCCACTTAAAGTGTACAGTTCAGTGGTTTTCAGTATATTCACAGAATTGTACAAACATCAAAATTTAATGTTAGAACATTTTCAACACCCCAAAAAAGAAACACTCTACACAACAGCAGTCATAATTTCTACTTACCCCTCTTCACCCAACTTCTCAAACCCCATTTACACTCTTTTTTTCTTATGTGCAGGTTTTTTTTTTTAATTTTAATTTTTCTAAATTTATTTATTCATGCACACAAGAGCTGGGTTACAGGCCAGAGGCATGGGGGGAGAGGAGGGTTGAGAGGATTCACCAGAGACAGAGTGGGGAACAGAACAGGCAGATGGATCGAAGTACACTGCTGAGGAGAGCAGCGGGCAAGGCAGGAGATGTCTGCTGCGCCATGTGTGTAACTCCCTAGTGGGCTAGGGAATCAAACTCGTGCTGTAGTGGCTACAGACAGCTCCTTAGGTTAGGTTTGTGTTAATTGAGTATACAGTTTTCATCTTAACCCCTTGGGCCACCAGGGAGGCCTAGGTGCAGGGTTTTTTTTTTTTTTTTAAGTTTTTCTTTCTTAATTGAAGTAACATTGTATTGTAACACTATGTATCTCTCAGATGTATATCATTAAAAATCAATATGTGTAGCTACTACATTAAGTTCACCAGTAAAATTACAATTCTATCTTTCACTGTACAATTGACCCTTTTACCCATTTTATCCATCCCCTTTCCTTCTGTAACCAATAATTGTTCTCATAGACTAAAAATTTGTTTTTGTTTTGTTTTGTCTAGTTTATCCAGTTGTTGTTGGTTTTTTTTTTTTCTGTACATAGTACTTACGAGTGAAATCATATGGTATTTGTCTTTAAAATATGGAACAGGGTCTCCCTGGTGGTGCAGGGATTAAAGAACTATCACCAGCTACTGTGGCCTGAGTTTGATCCCCGGGCTAGGGAGCTGACCTACACGGTGCAGCAGACCTCTCCTGTCTTGCCCGCTGCTCCCCTCAGCAGTGTGTTTCAGTCAGTCTGCCTGTTCTGCTCCCCACTCTGTCTCTGGTCAATCTTCTCACCTCCCATACCTCTGGCCTACACCCTAGTTTTTGAATGCATAAATCAATAAAATAAATCTTAAAAAAATAAAATAAAATATGGAGCAAAATTCATGTTATCCTTGTGCAGGAGCCATGCTAATCTTTGCATCACTCCAATTTTAGTACATAGACTATTAAAATGAGCATTTTCTGTCATTATGAATTAGCTGGTTCTGGACATTTAACTTAGGTGGCATACAAAAATGGTCTTTTGAGACTAACTTCTTTTTCCCAGCATAATCTTTACAATGTTAACCACTTTTTGTTTGTACATTCATCAGTTTATGAATATTTAGGTTGTTTCCACCTTTGGGCTATTTTGAATAATGATATCAACATACATGTACAAGTTTTTGTGTGAACATATGTTTTCATGTCTCTTGATTACATACCCTGGAGTAGAATTGCTAGGTTATATGATAACTACATTTAGCATTTTGTGCAACTGCCAAATTTTTCTAAAGTGACAGCACAATTTTATATTGCTGCCAGCAATATGTAAGGGCTCTAATTTCTCTGCATCCTCATCAACACTTGTTATTTTCTGCCTATTTTACTTGTGTATGACCTGGCATCTAATTGTAGCTGGGTTTACATTTCCCTAACGACTAATGATGCCAGGCATATTTTCATGTGCTTATTTGTATACCTTCTTTGTATAAATGCCTATTCAAATCATTTGCCAATTTTTAAATTGAGTTATTTGTATTTTAATTGTTGAGCTGTAAGTATTCTTTACACATCTTGGATATATAATATTTGCACTTTCTTGTTGATTATATTTCTAGGTATTTTCTTATTTTTGCTGTAATTATAAATGGGATCATTTCTTTAATGTAATTTTTAAATTTTTCATTGTTAATGGATAGAAATATATTTAATTTTTTAATATATTGATCTTGTATCCTGCCACACTAATGAACTCCTGTGAGTTCATTTATTAATTCTACTGATTTTTAGTGAATTTCTTAGGATTTCTCTAGAAAGGATTATGTCATCTTCCAATTTTATTTAAAAATAAATTCCTTTCCAATATGGATGACTTCAATTTTTTTTCTTGACTGGTTGATCTGGCTAAAATCTCAGTACTATGTTGAGGAAGAGGTAAAAGAAGTGATAAGAGCAGAATTCCTTGTCTTGTTCCTGATCTGAGGGGGAAAGCATCCAGTCTTTCACCGTTAACTATGATGTTAATTGTTTTTCATAGAAGTCTTCCCACTTCCTACCTTGGATGAGTTTCCCACCATTCCTCAGTTGTTGAGTGATTTTTTAAAAAAATTTTTTAAAAGATTTATTTATTTATGTATGCATGTATACAAGAGCTGGGGTATAGGCCAGAGGTGTGGGGGGTGAGAGGATTCACCAGAGACAGAGTGGGGAACAGAACAGGCAGACTGACCAAAATACACTGCTGAGGGGAGCAGCGGGTGAGCCAGGAGAGGTCTGCTGCACCATGTGGGTTTCTCCCTGGCCGGGGATCAAACTTGTGCTGCAGTAGCTGCGGATAGCTTCATACGTTGCATCATAACTTTTTGAGCCACCAGGGAGGCCCTGTTGTTGAGTGTTTTTATAATAAAAGACTGTTGGATTTGTCAAGTGCCTTTTGATTGTCTGTTGGGATGAACATGTGTTTTTTTCTCTATCCTATTAATACCGTGTATTGCATTGATTAATTTTAGACAAATTTAGACTAAATCAATCTTGCATTCCTGGGATCCTTCAGATATACAGCTGAATTTGCTTTGTTAACATTTGGTTGAGTATTTTTGCATTTAAATTCATAACTGATATTAGTTTTCTTGTGAAGTTTTTAGTTTTGGTATCGGAGTAAGAGTGATCTCATAGAATAAGTTGTGAAGCTTGTTGAATTCTTATGCTTGTTGAATAGTTTGGTTGGGTTGAAAAGAATTTTTCTGTAGAGCTGGGGCTAGCAAATTTCTGTGAAGGGGCAGATGATAAATATTTTAGATTTTTTTAAAAACATTTATTTATTTATTTATACAAGCACTGGGCACAGTCAGAAGCACGGGAGGGTGAGAGAATTCACCAGAGCCAGAGCAGGGAACAGAACAGGCAGACTGGCGCACTACACTGCTGAGGGGAGCAGCGGGCGTGGCAGGGGAGGTCTGCGCGCCATTTGGGACCCTCGCCGGCAGTCGGGGATTGAACTGGCGCTGCAGAGGCTGCAGGCAGCTTCGCAGCCCAGTGCTCAACCGCTGCGCCACCAGGGGAGGCCCTAAATATTTTAGATTTTAGAGGTCACACATACTCTCTGTCACATATTCTTTGTTTTGATTTTAATTTTTACAATTCTTGAAAAAGTTGGAAACCCCTTTCAGTTTAGGTGCCCTAGAAAATCAGGCTGTGGCCTGGATTTGGCTCATAGGCAATAGTGAGCCAACCCTGTGTTAGAAGGATTTCCTAAGGGTATGGTCTACTAAGTCAGTTTTCTGATCTACTAAGTCAGTTAGCATTTGTACAGCAACATTTCAGGTTCTAATATTTTAAAACATTTCTATCTTTGACTCTTACCTTCTTTGAACTTGAGGGTTTATAACTTTATTTTACTCTAATGAGTTATTAGAAAGAAATTCAGATACGCATGGATGATCAACCTATCATATTTTAAGGAAAATTACAAATTCCTTTTTAAAGAAGATGATTCTATATCCTTTGCCAGTATCCATACTAGGATGAAGCCAGTCCCTCCCTGGCATATCTTGTGGATATGTGGGACCACCACTTCTGCCTATTATATATTCTGGCTCTCCCAAAATAATTTTTAAGTCAATAATCTAAAATTTACCCCAAAAATCTAGGAAAAGAGAAGAAAAATAAATCCAAAAGCAAGCAGGAGAATGGAGGAGAATGGATATATAAAGATAATGGCATAAGTCAATGAAAAGAAAGCAGTAAAACAATACAGAAAAATCAATAAGTTGCTTTCTTGAAAATATCAATAAAATTGACAAACCTCTAGCAAGAATGACAAAGAAAAAAAGAGTAAACACAAATCACCAATATCAGGAATGAAGTTAATCTTGCTTCATTCCTGAAGACACTGCAGACATCAAAAATATAACAACGTGGATGCTACAAACAACTCGGTATCTATACATTTGACAACTTAAATGCAATGGATAACTTTCTGGTAAAACAAACTACCACAATTCATTCAAAGTGAAACAGATAACATGAGTAGCTCTATAACTATTAAGGAAATTGAGTTCATAATTAAAATATCCTCCTTCCACTCCCCCTCTCCCCCAGGGAAATCTCCAGGACTTGTATCCTTGCTCTTTTTTTTTTTTTTTTTAATCTAATTAGTCTCTCAATTGTTGAGAGAGGAATGTTGATGTCTTCGACTATAATTGTGTTTTTTAAATTTCTCCTCAGTTCTATCAGGTTATGTTGTGTGGTTCTGTTTGCTGCGCACACATTTAGAATTGTTATGTCTGCCGGATGGACTAATCTTTTTATCATCACATATTGTCCTTCTTCACCTCTGGTGCTTTTGTCTGATATTAATGTAGCTACACCTGCTTTCCTTTGATCAATGTTTGCATGATATATCATTTCCCCCATCTTTTTTACCTTCAACCTAACTATATTATTATATTAGAAATGAGTTTCTTGTAAGCAATATATAGTTGGTTATGTTTTTTTAACTACTCTGCTAATCTCTGTCTTTTTAAAAAAATATTCATTTATTTTTGCATCGAAGAAATGGGGTGTAGGTGAGGGGGTGAGAGGATTCACCAGAGACAGAGCAGGGAGCAGAACAGGTGGAGCTACTGAAATGCACTGCTAAGGGGAGCAGTGGGCGAGACAGGAGAGGTCTCTGCACTATATGTGAGTTAGCTCCCTGGACAGGGATCGAACTCAGGCAGTAGTGATGATAACATAGAGACTTAATCCTTAGGCCACCAGGGAGGCCCTAATCTCTGTCTTTTAATTGGTGTTTTTAGACTATTTATATTAAATGTAATTGTTGATATATTAGTTTATGTCTTCCATTTTATGTTTTCTGTTTCATCTCTCTGTTTTTTTTACTTCTGTTTTCTTTTTTCTGTCTTTCTGTGAACTACTCAAACATTTTTTTATGAAGCCATTGTGATTTATCAACAGTGTTCTTGAGTATATCCCTTTGTATAGTATTTTTTTTGTTTGTTTTTGTTTTTCACAATACATGATTTATGTTACTTGCAGGATCAAAACTATCATGTACAAATGTTAGAGTAATGATAAATGAATACAGACAGCCGGAACTGCTGTTGTTGCCATGAGGATAAACCATGGGAACATCTCCCTAAACATTTTGGACACATCATTGGAGTTTGGTCTTACAGACTAGTCCAGTCTACTCTCTGTACTATTCTATCTGGAGTGGGAGTGTGGAGGCGGGTGGGGGGCGGGGTGGTAGACAGGGATAGGAAGAGAGAAAAAAAGAAAAAGAAAGGCACAAAGACTCAATAGCAACACCAACACCATCCAAGAAAACCTCTGCTACACTGGACAACTCAGCTTATCAAAGGGTATTCTAAAGCAATTTCCATGCCAAGAAAAGTCGTATGTGTCTTAGTACAGAACAGCCATCTGTTTTGATTTTTATTTTTTAGGAATGAAGCAGAAATGAAAAGTCTGGGAGGGGTGGCAGAAGATAAATGACACATATTTATCTTTACATATCCCCTTCCTCCAGGCAGTTCTGCCGGTGTCAGACCTCTTAATGCAGGATGTGGATCGGCTTTCTTTCTCATAAAGGAGACCAGATCTTTAAACATGCATAGCCTGGAGTTTCCAGGATGGTTCTCTTCACTCTCTTTAAATGCCATGGACTAGAAAGATGCCCATTTTGCTAAAAACTCTACGTCAGTGTCCCAGGAGCCCCAAGGCTCTGCAGGTTCCTCTCGAAGACTTAAAGGATGGCACAGAAAAACTTCTTCTCCCTAAATGGGTTCTCTGAAGCTGGAACAGGGGTCAGAAGGGGATCTTTCTTGGCACGCGCTTCACAGTAGGCCATCGAGTCTGCAGCTGCCTTGGATACCTTTTAACTGTCAATGTTAGCTTCCATCTTCAGCTGTTCTGCCAGCTTCCTGGCTTGTGCTATGCTGGTGGTATTGTTGCTGGCCATTGGAGTGCTGGGT